TCCTAAGTCTGCAATATATGAATTCCATTTGTCTTTTTGAAGAATATTACCACTATGAAAATCATGATGAATAATTTCTTTTTCATGAATGCCTTTTAAACCTTTAATAATTTGTTTAAGAATTTCAATTTTGTTTGCCCATTTTAAATTTTTAAAATCTTTAGTTAAATAATTTTGAAGACTTCCATCTTTCATATATCTCATTACAAATATATATTCTTTTGTAATTGGATCTTGTGCTAATCCATAAATATGAATTATATCCACTTTATCATGAAACTTCATATAATTTTTGAACTAAATAAAATATTTAATTACAACAATAATAATTGATAATATGAAAATAAATAGAAAATAAATAGAAAAATAAAATAATTTACCTCATTAAGAAATTCATCAGAAATATTCTGTGAATTATGTAGTTTTTTTAGTGCTACAGTCCTATCTTTACTAGTACTGGTATATTTTCCATTTCCATAATTTACAATTTTATCACCATTTAACCAAGTAGCTTTGGATATAGTTGCAAACCCACCTTCACCTATCTTTTCAATATTTGTTAAATTATTATAAGGAATCCATTGAAGATAATTACTATAATAGAAAGAATAGCAGAAATAGGAGCAGTAGCAATAATAACAACAAAACAAAACAAAGACTTAGTTGAAGATTGGCTTTCTATGATGTCCTCAGAGGAATTAAATCACAATTTTGAAGGGGAAGAAAAGCTTCTTAATGAAAATGAAACCATTTATGTTGAAGATTCAGTTTCTAATATATCTAGTAATCTAACATCATCATCATCATCATCATCATCCACAACAACACCCACAACAACATCATCACCACATACAAATAATATTCAAAAGAGTATAGTTTGGGAGTTTTTTTGTGAAATTCATTGTTATTTGTTGCCAAAGATTTCTAGGTAGTAAGCAGGATAAATTTGTAAAATAAAATAATTGATGAGTGTAAAAAGTTAATTTGAACCTGGTCATAAAATGTAAGATAAT